CTCCCCGGACCGGGGCGCGACCCTGTGTCCCCTGCATCGGCAGGCGGACTCTCAACCACTGCGCCACCAGGGAAGCCCCAGTGGTCTTTTTTTGTCATTTGCAAATGGCATGACTGTGGTCAAATCATGCTCTGTATCTTGGTTTCCTCTTCTAGGTACAAAGGCACAAAGGATTCACATACATCATATAGTGTTGGAGATGTGTGAATGTAAAGATATGTAAATATTATATAAATACATATGTATAGTTTGTTTTACTACTGCTTTATAACAAGTATTAGTAGCCAGATTTTTCCAAAAAAGCAACTGAAGCTCATAGATGTCACACTCCTAATAAGTAGCAGAGCAAATATTCAAATCCAAGTCGGTTTGGTGCCTAAGCCTGTGTTCTTACTACGTATACTGCCTGCCAGTATTAACTGTAAATGTGGCTACCATTTGGTGATATATGTGTATTTGAATATATAGTGTATGTCAGACACAAAGCTAAGCATTTTACAATTGCAGTGTGCTGATACATAAAGAAACAAGAGGTACATTCTTTCACAGTATCACATTGAGCTATTCCAGTACTTCCGGGACTATTCCTAACCAGAGGAGACAGTATGTTATGATGTTTAAAGCATGGGCTTTGAAATTAGATTGTATGGGTTTAAAGTTTGGCTCCTCTACTATAGCTGTGTGACCTTGGGTAAGTTATTCAACCTCCCTGAACCTGAGGTCATCTATCTATACAATGTGGATAATGATACTATCTTCCTTATAGGTGGTCGTGAGGATTAAATTAGGTAGTACATGAAAATGCTTCCCACCTTGCCTTGATTACTGCAAGTATTCACCTAATGTTAGTAATTAATATTCGGTGCTAAGCAAACTATGTAAGTCTGCCTATTCATGGTATTTGTGTTGTGCAAACTGTATGTCATATAATAATATTCCATGAAAATAAGAGATCATTTCCACACCTGGACCCCATTCTGCTAATGACATTATGGCCTCCTGTAAAAGCCACTAGATACTAGAGTGGGAAAGATAATCCACACTCGTTTGTAAAATGTTTGATGCCTCTTCAAAGTGATAGTCTTTAACTACAGGTCCAAAAGTAATTCAGAGGAGAAGTTCAAGTGCCATGTCTAGGGTCACAGAAAGCCAGTACAGTTGTCAGTCCCACAGGGGATTGGTTCTGGACTCCACCACGGATAACAAAATCTGCAGATGCTCAAGTCCCATAGTTGGCCCTCCATAATCCGTGGATTCTGCACTGTGGATTCTGCATCTGCAGATACGGGGGGCCAACTGTATTTTTATTGAAAAAAAATCCCCATATAATTGGACTTGCATAGTTCAAACCTGTGTTATTCAAGGGTCAACTGTATTATAAATGTTCACACACACACACACACACACACACACACACACACATATATACACCTGTAATCTCTCTTCTCTTGCTAAATAGTGGGGATGATTTTCCTGCTTCTTCCCCTTACATTAAAAAAATTATAAAGATATTGTCAATTCCAGGCTTGTATAGCTACAGTCACTAAATGGTCAGTAAAGTGACCCTAAATAAACATTAAACAAATGTGTGTGTGTGGAGCGTTATAAAAAAGAGAGGTGAGTTTGGGGAAGTATTGATTGTAATATCAGGGAAGAAATATTTCCTCTATGTAGCGTTTTAAATGAAGCAATCCTGATTTTACTGTTTGAGGTGTGAGAAATGATACAGTGTTCCACATGTGCTTTATAAACTGTAAAACACTATCAATGTCTATTTACTCATATATTCTTCTAGTAAATTTTTATTGAGCGACTACTAAGTGCCTGGGAAATACAGAGTTAGACAAGATAGGAATGAACAGATTAAAGAAGATGATGGGAATAAAAAGCAATAATAGCACTCTGACAGAAATAAATTTCAGGATAATACCTAGCACATATTTAGCGTCAATGATGCTAGTCACTGATCTAAATAATTTGTATGTATCACTTAATGCTTACAACAACACTGCGAAATTTATACTAAAGCACAGTGAGTGCTTGCGTAAGTAACGTTGTAAGTAACTTGCTCAACGTCAAGTAGTAAAAAGATAGCAATGAGATTTGAACCTAAGCAGTCTGGTTCCAGAATCCCCACCCTTAGGCACCGTAGTTTTCCACTTCCCTGGGAATCCTTGCGCGATGCTCTAGGGACTTACTTCATGGAGAGGACATCTAACTGAGCCAAGGAGATTTGATATTTTTATCTGTTACAAATTTGTATGATTTAATGCGTTAATCTGTTATAAAATAAGCCACCATACAGAACTATTACAGTGCAGACTAAGGGGTTTTGATTATGGCCTGCAGGTGGTAACAACCTTGAAAGGATTTTAAACAGAGAAGTAAAATCATCAAATGTAGTGTAGTTGCATATCAGGTAGGTTTCTCTCCATGCAGGCAACGGAAAGTACCCTCTGATTAAATCAAGCAGAAAGTAAACACTGTAATTAGCTTGAAGGCAATGGAAAAAGACCTAGAAACAGAAAACGGACCTGAGTATGCCTGGGCATTTAGTTAGCAGGTACTACTTGAGTCTCTTTGTGATCCTCCTTTGCTTTGTACTGTGTAACTGTTCAAAATTTAAAGTCCTGGGAGGAGTCCAGTTGACCATGCTTGGGTCACACCCCCATCTCTTAGCTAGAGGAGAGCAGAGAACACTGATTTAAAACGCTTTCCTTCCAAAGCTCCTTACACTGGGGGAGAGATCATTTCCTCACCCTTCCTCCCAATGTAAACATTATGTTTATCTATTTTAACTTTGCAATATGGAGACCTGAAATAAAACTATTTATGCCCCAGTACTCTAAATATAAGTTTGTTTGACACCTGCACATACAGTAGTTGGTTCTCAAAAAAATGTAGATTGTGAGGGAGCTTCAAGATGGCGGAAGAATAAGATGCGGAGATCACCTTCCTCCCCACAGATACACCAGAAATACATCTACACGTGGAACAACTCCTACAGAACACCTCCTGAACCCTGGCAGAAGACCTCAGACCTCCCAAAAGGCAAGAACCCCCCCCCCCACGTACCTGGGTAGGGCAAAAGAAAAAAGAATAAACAGAGACTAAAGAATAGGGCCGGGACCTGCACCAGTGGGAGGGAGCTGTGAAGGAGGAAAGGTTTCCACACACTAGGAAGCCCCTTCGCGGGCGGAGACTGCGGGTGGCAGAGGGGGGGATCTTCGGAGCCACGGAGAAGAGCACAGCCACAGGGGCGCGGAGGGCAAAGCGGAGAGATTCCCGCACAGAGGATCGGCGCCGACCGGCGCTCCCCAGCCCGAGAGGCTTGTCTGCTCACCCGCCGGGGCAAGGCGGGGCTGCGAGCTGAGGCTCGGGCTTCGGAGCTTAGATCCCAGGGAGAGGACTGGTGTTGGCGGCGTGAACACAGCCTGAAGGGGGCTAGTGTGCCACGGCTGGCCGGGAGGGAGACCCGGAAAAAGTCTGGACCCGCCTAAGAGTCAAGAGACTTTTTCTTGCCTCTTTGTTCCCTGGGGCGAGGAGATGAGATTAAGAGCGCAGCTTAAAGGAGCTCCAGAGACTGGCTCGAGACGTGGCTATATCAGCGCGGACCACAGAGAGGGGCATGGGATGCTAAGGCCGCTGCTGCCGCCACCAAGAAGCCTGTGTGCGAGCACAGGCCACTCCCCACACCTCCCCTCCCGGGAGCCTGTGCAGCCCGCCACTGCCACGGTCCCGTGACCCAGGGACAACTTCCCCAGGAGAACGCACAGCGCGCCTCAGGCTGGTGTAGCGTCACGCCGGCCTCTGCCGCCGCAGGCCCGCCCCGCACTCCGTGCCCCTCCCTCCCCCCGGCCTGAGTGAGCCAGAGCCCCCGAATCACGGGCTCCTTTAACCCCGTCCTGTCTGAGCGAAGAACAGACGCCCCCAGGCGACCTACACGCACAGGCGGAGCCAAATCCAAAGCTGAACCCCG